AGCACCGGGGTGGGCTGTTCCCGTGGGGAAACGCTCCTTTTTCCTCCCTGCTTCCCGGTAATTGCTTTCCTTTCTCCATAGCTCTGAAAAGGCTGCGTGAAGCTGCCAACAGCAACGACTTGGACACAGGTAAGATTTCTGCCAGTCCTACGTGGGACCCCTTCCTGGAAGGGCAGTTTTATCGAGGGCCTTTATTGTAGGAGAGGAGGAGGAGAGTGCAGATAGTTTGCAGACATGGGCTTTAGGTGCTGCAAATCTAAGAAACTGCTTCTCTGGAGCCTTGTTTTGCTCTCTGAGTAGAGTGAGGCTGGTTATATTAACTTTTTCACAGCATTTGGTTAATAGTGTTAGTTTTCCAACTGCCTCAAGCTAAATCAGCACTGCACCATTATTCCAGCTTTTTTGGTATGTAACTTTTGCCCAGTTGTAAGCAGAAAGAGAGTAGTGTTTTGGTAAGGTGGAGGTTATGGTTATCTAAGCCATACCTTGTGTGATGAGACAGTCTGATCCAGTAGATCAGAACCAGGACCAGTGCTGGTCTCTGCCTCTCACAGTGCCTTCAGAGAAAGCTTGTGGCCTACCTGTGAACTCCCTTTACCTCTCTACACTGTAGATGAGGTGGGGTTTGATATGAAGTGTTCAGCAGCAATATTGGCATCTGTCATCTGCCCCTTTTTGTTGTCCCTCCTTCGACCACGCTGTCCCCTCAGCTCTGCCAGCCTGAGTGTTCATGGGGCCATTCTGTGAACAGAGCTGGAAACTGGCTTGACTTGTAGGAACTCCCAGTGTATCAGGACGGGGTTTTGTCTGGCATGCTTCACCCTTTGTCTCCACAATACACCTTGTTTCATGATCTGATGGATGAAGTTCATCTGTGAGTGCAGAAAGGCTTGGCTTCACTCACCGAGTCAAGAGGAGGAATGAAAGAATCAGGCTTTATGAAAGTCTTGGTTTCAATCCAGCTTGGGGTTTTACACCTGTATTTGATAGACAGGTTCCCCTGTTCACAATCCTGCTGTGTTCTGTGTCCTCTGCAACTTGAGGAAGTGTCTGGTGATTAATTTATTCTTCATCGACAAGTAAAAATCTTTGGTGTTTGCTGAGGTGGCGCTGGGTGGGAAAGGTTATGTCATGTCCTACTGGCTTCAGGGAAGGAGTAGGTGAAGCATTCGCCAGTAATGGTTCTCACTGGTGGCACTGTCAGTCTCCCTGTCTTGATACAAGAGTATCACACATCCCTCATTAATGTCACTCCATCTTTTCAGGTATTCCTTTCATTCCTGCACCACACTTAAAGTGTTTGGTGTACAGGAAGAAATTGCAATGGGACCATAATTCTGTCTCTGGAAGCTGAGGAGAATGGTGACTTTCAGTGGTCTGAGCTATCTAGTTTCTTGTCTCAGTACTGGCCCTTCTTGACTGTTGTAAGTTATGCTATTAAAGATCTCAAAATACAGTGAATTTATCAGTATTTTTAACAGCTTTATTTTGCACACTGATTACTATGTCAGGACAATCTCAGAACAGCAGGATTAGCAGCCCTTGCAGTTGCCCTTACGCATGTTGCTGTAGATGCTACTTTTGCCTCCCTAATCTTTTCAGCCATTACTGGTCTCTCTGCCTTTGATGTACCCAATACCGGGCAGTCACGCTAGTTTCTCTGACTCTGTCTCAGCAGGTTTTTCCTTCTTATCCAAAGGAGGCATTTCAGGTTACAGCAAGTGCCAGTGGTGGCACTGAAGAAGTAGCTGGGTGGAAAAGCAGGGGAAACAAGTGTGAGAAGATGACAGTATGGCTCCTCGGGCTGTTCACTGCAGTGCATCATCTCCTAGGGGTGTATTTGTCCTGCTCTTGGCAGGTTGCTGCACTCACCTGCCTGCTTCCCAATCAGTAGCCACCGTTACTATGGTAAAAACTAGGGGTTTCAGGTGACTCTAGGAAGGGGCACGTTCAAAGCAGGTGTGGAGAGGTGGCTTCTCTCACTGCATGTGGTTACACTGTGAAATGTCTTGCCACGGGTCCATGTTGATGTGAAAAGTTTACACAGATGCAGAAAATGACCACACAAATCTACAGAGAAAGACCATGGAGGGACAGTAAGGACAGGATCCTAATTCTGGCTTGGGAAGTGCCTGAGGTGCAGCTGACTAGCTGTGAGAGTTAGCCCCCATCTTTGCCATCTTTTTATACACTTCTATAGGCATTTGCTGCTGATTTTCCTTGGAGCTTGAATATTTGTCTAGCTGGATCCTTAGCCTTAGCCATTACAGCTGGTGGCTTGTCTTTTACGGTAGTCCAGGGAAGCTGCTGAAGGCTGTGACAGAGCGGGGAGGATACGCTGCCTGGGCTGGCTCTGCTGAGCCAGGATGCTCACTGGAGCTGGTTCAAGTCCAGTTGATTTGACAGCTGGCAGGGTGCATACCTACCCACAGGACAGCAGGTAGCATTACCTCTGTCTGATAGGTGTTCCCTCAACTCACCTGCTTTCTTCTCCTCCTTGGCGCTGTCAGTGCAGCAACTCTTGGAGGATGGAGCTGACCCCTGTGCCGCGGACGACAAAGGCCGGACAGCCCTGCACTTTGCCTCCTGCAATGGCAACGATCACATCGGTGAGTGGGGAGGGGGAGTTCTGTCATCCAGCTTCTCTGGGGAAGAGATTTTGAAGGATGCTCTGCATTCTGTTTCAGCAAATGACAGATTGCTGTTTTCCGTGTGTTTTGTGGCAAAGCTGCCAGCTGAACTCTGGCTCCAGGGTTTGCTGTGTCCCCCTGCTGAAGGGGGAGCAGGAGCTTCCAGTGCTAGGGCTGTACTGGTGCAGAAGAAAGGGCATCCTTAGTCCCAGTTCTTCCCCTCAGGGAGCCCAGGGGCAGTGGCACTCCCTGGCTTTGTGCTGGGTCCTTCTGCTTTGCTGTGCAAACCTCTGTCCCCTGTCTCTGGGAGGAAGCTGATGAGCTGAACAGAAGCACCCCTAAGGCGGCCTGATGGCTGCTGTGTGGACCTGCGGCCCATGTGGGCCTGACCTGTGGGGCAAAGGGAAGGGACTGACACAGTTCTGTTTCCTTGTTTCCAGTGCAGCTGCTTCTGGACCATGGGGCTGACCCAAACCAGAGAGATGGGCTTGGAAACACACCCTTACACTTGGGTAAGTGCCACACAGATGAATCTTGCATGCAGAGAGGTGAGGTGGGCACCGCCTTGCTGTTCCTTTCTTCTCCACCTTCCCCTCTCCTGCGCATCACAGTGTGCATCCCCAGCTTTAAGGACCTAGGAGGTAGAGAAAATCCATTTCCCTCCCTCTGACAGCCCCAAGGAGCATGACATCTGTTCCAGGGAGAATACCTGGTCTTGTGCATGGGGTTACCCTTAACAGTTGGGCTGTTGCTCTTTCTCATGGCAGACAGCCGTTGGGGAAGTGGCAAGCTCCACACTTGAGCAGAAACTCCTTTGTTGTTGTTTGCTAGTGCCTCTGAGTTGTGTGTCCTGTGTTTTCCCTCCCCAGCTGCCTGCACGAACCATGTTCCTGTCATCACCACGCTGCTGCGCGGAGGTAACATTTCCTCTCTAACAATTACAGCCTGTCCCTTTCCTGTCCTGCCCCTGTTGATACTGCCCAGGGACACTAAGCCTTGAAGACAGACCTCACTTTCTGTCCTTGCTCACACGTCTTGCAGGTGCCAGAGTTGATGCCTTAGATCGAGCTGGCAGAACCCCGCTGCACCTCGCTAAATCAAAGCTAAACATCCTGCAGGAAGGACTCTCCCACAGCCTGGAGGCCGTACGCCTGGAAGTGAAACAGGTAAAAGAAACAGTGCCGTGGTCTGGTAAGGTGGTGCAGCCCCTGGCAGTCTCCTGCACCCTTTATTTAAATACCTCTCTGTAGGCTCTTGGCTGCTCTGGGGAGAGTTTGACTTTTTTCTTCTATTTTCAGAGACCTTCCTTTTTCCCAACTGCTAGTCTGAATTTTTGCAGGACCTCTCTTGGCTCTGGTAGGCCAAGGATGCATTGAATTTCTTAATTCTGAGGCTGAATGGAGCACTCTCTTTTCTTCAGCCACCGTGTAAGACACATGGTTTGTGGCAGGAGAGGGATCATAGCATGGGGCTGTAGCTATGGCGTACACACACAGGGACTCTGCGTTCCTAGCACAGTCTGTCCTGCTCTGCTACGTGGAGGGATGGGATAGGAAAACACTCACGGGGATGCATCACAAATGCACGAGGTGTGGGCTTCACTTTAGGAGCCACAAGGATTTTTTCATCCTCAGTGCACAAGCAGATCCTGCTGGAGTGGGAAGTTCCTGCTCCTCACAGCGAGGGAAGCTAGCTGGCCATAAAGAAAACCTTGGTGCTTTCAGGGCTAGACCTTACACTTCTTCAGCTGGGCCTTTCTTCCCTGTTCTTAAACCAGGCACAGGGATCACAACTAGTCCATCTGTGGCTGATCATCACCTCTAGTGACTCACTGGGCTCTGATGCTGCCATTAGCGCTCTCTGGTTGCTTTGCACATGTTCCTCTATGTGCCACGTCCTCTGCCATGTACCGCAGCATCAAGGCTGTGCTTGGCAATGTAACTGTAATTGCATTTTTTTCTGCAAAAACGTCCCAGCCTGGTGCAGCTGTTTGATCCCTCTTATGCCTGTTGGTTTCAGATCATCCAGATGTTGCGGGAATACCTGGAGCGTCTGGGGAGGCACGAGCAAAAGGAACAGCTGGATGACCTCTGCTCCAGGTTACAGATGACTAGCACCAAGGAGCAGGTAGGCAGCACTGAGCTACTGTGCCTCAACTACAGCCAGTTGGGACTTTGGTGCTTAGGAGAGTGCAACTGCAGGAGCAAGGTGACACTGAAGACACAGTTATGGAAGTGTTCTCGCTCACACTGGGTAAAGTGAGCAAGTTACATGATGACTCACGGTAGTCCTTTGGGTTGGAATTTAAAATGCAGAAAGCATCACTGTGCCTAGCAGCTCGGCAGAGAAGCTGAAGATCAGGTGGGCTGAGGGCACAGGCATCTTAAGGCTGGGACCAGCACAACAACAGGGTTGCAGGGCCTGTTTGGGTTTTTTTTGTTGTTGTTTGTTTGGCCAGAAGATTGGCCCTTAGAAACAGCCTTAGAGGAAACAGCCCTAATGCCATCGTTGAGTTCTGGGCATGAGGCAACATGCTTCTGTTCTAAGGACTGGCTGAACTGCACGAGGTCAAGGTCAAGAATCGACCTCCTGAGGAATGGGGAGAAGCTCCCCTTGCCTTTGATGAGGACTGGTTAGATTGTGAGGGCAGGAGCCCTCCTACACAACTGTGGGACCAAAGGGATCCCGTCCTTGTGTAAGCTCAGCATGGGTGTTACTGGCAGTCCTGGTGCGAGGGTGGTCCCTGCTGCATGGGGGTTTGCTCTGTGTTGGTGGGCAGCTGCACAACTGCATTCCTCTGCCTAACAGCCTGCTCTCTTCTGTCAGGTGGACGAGGTTACAGACCTCCTGGCTAGCTTCACCTCACTCAGCCTGCAGATGCAGAAGATGGAGAAGAGATAACGGGCTTCCAAATCATCTTCCTGATGCAGCAGGAGAAGCTTCAGAGAGAAAAAGAGGAAGCTGAAGCTTGCTTCCCAGCTCGCTGCATACAAACATTGCTGCCAGCGGCCGTGCCTGCCAGATCCACTCTCCGGAGGTGCTCAGGCTGTCCCTGTGGGTGCTGCCACAGCTGCCTCATAGGGAGGCAGCAGGCCTTGGACAAGAGAGACAACAGACAATGCTGCAGCTGAGACTTTTTGGAAAAAAAAAAAATAAAAAAAAAAAATAAAAAGCTGCTCTTCTGTTAATCAGATGGGCTGGCGCTGAACAGGATACCCCTTCCAGAGGTATTCTGCCTTCTCCCAAGCACTTCAGCTCGATGTAGGTGGTGTCTGATGCCATGTGCAGTCACCAGCCCTGACTAGTGCACTTAGCAGCTGGCCAACATCACAGAAACGCTTGGAAAAGGCACTTTTTGCCCCCTCCCCAGTACTCAATTGCATGGGGGAGAAAGTGGATGCCTTGGGCAAGAGCAGGCTTTGTGCTGTGAAAAGAACACCCTTAATTCTGCATGCTAGCAGCTGAGCAAACATACTGTCTTGAGAAACACGCACCAAGGCTTAATCCTAACCTTCCCCAGAGCCTGCAGTCAGAGGGCAGAGAATCTGTCTGGTTACAAATGGGATGCAAAGCTTTTAATCACTAGACTAACAGCTTTCACCTGGCCCCACTTTTTAAATCACTGCTGCAAGTTAGTGCTTAAATACTACAGCAAAACATTTGTGAAAAAGACCCAGGTAGACAGCTAGCAGGTCAGAGCTGCCCTGATGCAGGAGTAAGGTTTGGAGGCGTGACTTAATCCTAGCGCAGTTTTTGACAGACATCTATATCTTGCAAAAAAACCCCACTGTAACTGACTTCTGTGTTTCCTAGTACTGGTGGTCTTGGGCAGGAGGTCTGCCTGCAACAGGAGGTGTTGTGTATTCAGCTGCATTACTGGGCTAGGATGGAGGTGAATTTATGGCTGCCTCAGCAGCACCAAGCCCAGAGCTGACCCATACTGTGCTTCTTGCTTGTCAGAGAGAGGTGCTGCTCCAGGGACCCCAAGTGCAGCCTGAGGAACGAGTTAGGACCTCTGCTGGGAGCCTGAAGTGATGCAGCTGTGAGGGCTGCAGGGAATTATTCTTGCTGCTCTCTTGCTTCTGCCCCACTGTGGTTAGTAACGAAGACGTAGATAGCTTTGTCTTGGAGCAGGGATCCATGAAATCCTGTCAGCAGTGCACCAGCAGCAGCAGGGTGACAAGAACATGCCCAATAGCAATCTGAGTTCCCACCTAAATGATGTGGTGGGCTGGTAGCAATTCCCATCCCACAGCTAGGGAGTCACTGGTTTGGAAGTGTTCATCCTTAGGATTCAGCTTAACCATGCAACAGCCACAGCCCGGAGCATTCTTGAGAGACCTTCAGATCAGCATGTTCTCTAATAATCTGGCCTCTTGTCCAGGAAGAGAGTAAATGGACCTCCATGTTCAAAGCTGAGATGTCAGAAATACTCATGGCTTTTGGGTGGGTTCATCTGTGGGGTGCTGGAAACCATGACTGGGACGAACAATCTTGTGGTTTGTCTGGAGCTGTCACTGTGAATACCGATACTTCGTTATGACATGCTGGATGGGAAGAATACTGAGGGGGTGGGAGACAATCTGACCTTTTTGTATTTTGAACTTCAATAAAATCCTGTCAGCCTTTTTGGACTCCTCAGCCAAGTTTTCTTTTTTTTTAGAGTGGCTCATTCCTCTTTCTTTACAGATGATCTAGGCCCCAGGCACAGCACCAGACTTGGTAACTGCTACTCTCATACCTGGTACTGAAATTAGAAGTGACAACACAGAAGTTGTTTGAATACAAACACCGCTCTGTGTGCAGATCAAAGTACGTGGTTGCTGACTTACCTTCTGATCTTGACTCCCACAGCCAAGAAATCCAAACTTTAAACCTAGTTAGTTGCTGTGAAACTGTACAAACGGAGAAAAGAGAATCTCAGCAGGACTGCTTCAAACTGGAAGAAGGGGTGTTTTCAAAGAGGAAAAGCAACCTTGCCCAATCTGCACCCCTGCATAAGTACGAAAGCAGGTCGGGAGGAGGCGGCTGAACTCGTGCCTTGCCCCATGCCAGATAAAATGGCTGTGCTGTGACGAGATAGCAAAGGGATGAGGGGCTGGGGAGGGACATCTGGGCAAGGCAGAGAATTTCCAGGGTGGTACCTGTGTGAGGAGTGGGTAACTTTCATGTCCAGTCTTCATTTATTTTGCTTTTGCCTGTCTTCACAGCCTATTCTTTGTGGCTGCGTACACCCATCTGTCACCGCTTCTGCACTCAACAGCCTTGTTGCTGAGGAGACCATTAAGGTGCCAGCAGAGCAGGCAGCCAAAATGCTCCTTATCACTGCGGTTACCTTAGTTGCTGATGCTGTATGCTAACTAGACACAGCTTGGAAGCTTTCCTCAAAATCAGGAATATACCGAAGCTTTTAGCCTGAGCACACATGATGTTGTTGTCCACAACTCTTCAGTCTTGCCTGGCGCTGAAGTTTTCATGACTGCTCCTGACTACGCTGGGAATGGAAAGGTGGGGGTGCTGCAGCCAGCTGGGAGCGTTTGCCTCCCCTCCTTTGCAGCACTGCTCCTTCCACGGGAGAGTGAGGCAGCGCTGGCAGTCCCATGGAGACTGGCACACTGAGCTCAGGCAAAAAAGCTGAGCAGACTTGTAGGAAGTTTTGCCACTGCTTTAGTGATAACAACAGATAAGAAAGAAAAGATGATCTGGTTTTCAGAGGGGAGAGGAAAAAGCATCACGTAGGAATCGCCACAGTCAGTTCTGCTTTCCTGCCTCGGGGCTTAAGCACTGGGCTGCTGAGAGCCATGTCATGTGTTTGGCACTGGACTGAAAAAGGTTTTAGGTTTCTTTGCGTCAGCTGGTCATGCCAAAGCTTTGACTACCCTGCCAGGCTCAGCAGCTGTATCTTGAAAGAGAGTCAGGTACAGGGAGTGAAAGAAAGAAGGAAAGAAAAGGTTTCAGAGGAGGAAGACTGTGGCTTCATGCTGTGCTGAGAGCTGTTCTCTGGCACTCTTTTTTCTGCTGCTCTTGGCCTACAGTTTTCAGCTTCTCCCAGCAGCTTTTCCCCTTGCACTCTGGGCCACAGATTTCCCTGCACAACCCATAGGTGTGAGGTTGGTGATAGCTTTCTATATCTCCCAGAGGTGTCTGCTGCAGCAATGAAGAATGGAAACAGCAGCACAGGTTTCCCTCCGCTGTGTACTCTGCCATTAAACTCAGTCCAGTGTTGTAATTTTCCTTGTGCTACACCATGAAATACACCTTCCAGGCTCCTTCTCGAGCAGTGGTGCATCCCCCTCCTCAGGGCCATGGTGTCAAACCAGGACTTGACCTAAGGTCTTGCTTCCTTCTCACCATTACCTGGCCTCCAAAGACACTCCATTTCCCCTCCTCATTCACAGCACAGCTCTGCAGTGACATGCTGGATCCCTCGCCACCAAAACCAGCAGCAACCTCCCCAGCTCTGCAGCCACTGCTGTGCTGTAAGATGCAACCAAAACCAGCTAAATTGAGGATCTGGCTCATCCAAGCACAAAAGGACTGAAAACCTGCTTGTGTCTCACCAAGGACTCCAGCAGAAGCAACAGCCCTGAACAAAGCCTCCCTGCAAGGCTGCGTGGATGTCATTAAGCAAAAGGCCTTTCTCTGAAGTGGCCACTCACCCACACAAGCAAATGCTAAGTGCTCACTGCAGTATGTGCAAACATCAAGAATCTGTTCCACTCTTCAGCAGCTGAAATAATTAAACACCAAGGTATTGAACCAACATCTGAACTCCATTACTTTTTCCACCTTTGCCTTTCTAGCAGACTCCAATTCCATCATTGTAATTACCTGCACTGCTGAAGAAGCCCCATGAAGCATCTCTGGCAAACCTCCCACACTTTCATCTGCTTCCTCTGCTCATTCTGTGAGCAAGACAGATCTCTTCTCCTCCATCACAGAAAGGTACTTGCAGAAAGATGCCTTCTTCCTGCACTGTGCCCAGCCAACATAGGAGAGCAGCCCTGGGCACCTCAGGGCCCATAGGGTGAGTAAGTGGAAGAGCCAGCAGTTTTGACTGGGAAGCTGATAAAGGAGATACAGCAAATAGCTGTCCTCTGTGCTTTTCTGAAAGCTCTGAGAGGGGAAGAGAGCATGTGGTTGTTGGAAGAATTAAAATAATCAGCTGGCAACCTGCTAAGGCTGGTTATGGATTAGGAACCAGAATCTAAACCCAAAAGCAAATAAGCAGAATTCCCTGTAGCTACTAGTGCTCCATACCCTGACCAGCCCTGCCATGCTGTTACTTCTCTGGCTGTGAGCTGGCGAGGCTGTCCTGCCACAAGGTACTGTAATAGGTAGTAAACTGTTTGTTCA